TGTGGGCAAAATCTCAGGTCGAAATACAATCATTCAATTTGTTGGTATATATCATGCCTAGGGGTGTCATTTATCATTTAATTTACGCGTAAATTAAATAAAAGTAAATTTAAATCGACACCCCATACTACAATCAAAAATCAATGGGGGTAGCATTCTAAATGTTTAAATAACATTGTTGAGTACTTTTACTTGGGGTGTCGATTTAAATTTACTTTTATTTAATTTACGCGTAAATTAAATGAAACGTAAATGTAAATTGACACCCCTAGTTTTTAATAATTAATAGTAGTATTTCATACATTCTATTAGTCATTTTTCTTACTGCTGTTCAAACTGGGTTTTTTCCTACTTGTTGTCTCCCGCTTTATATGCTTCGTCATTCGCATTCTTATTCATTTTTTCTGTCGTGCACATTTATGATCTCACCTGAAGAACGCAAGTATGACGCTGCTTGTTTCTCATAGTCGACGACATTTTCAAATTATTTATTAAAGAAAGGAAGCACATTCTGCCTCTTATTTTTATACAGTAAAACATTCGCGTTATTTTATTATAGATGTTTCACCGAGATCAGAGTCAGTTGAAGAGCGTTATGAATAAAATCGAAAATAAATCACGCCTTGTCATAGAACTCTTCGAACGTATCCATATACAGCATCATAACGAAGAACAAACTGAACGAATTCAACATTTCAAGCATACATTTGTGTATTTACTTCTATTTACTCTTGGAACATTCGTATTTCAATTTCATATTCAAATATATAATGCACTCATCGGTCCCTTCCATTTAAATCGTGATCAATTCATCACACATCTTCAAATCTACAATCAGAATCTATCATCCAGTAAATCTCGTTGGTTTTCATTGAATAAAGAATATCTTCAGGTTGAAATCGGCGAGGACTATGTGGAACGTGGTCAAGTCCATGTCTTACGGATATATGATGACGAATACACTCGAACAAATATCTTGGCTTCGGTGCGTCGAATCAAAGAGCCAACCATTATCGATAGTATTCACCCCAATCGACTCTTTGTCAAATTTGCACCGAGTAAGCAACGTCACAATCATATTCATCACCCATATCGCTTTCAATCAATCACAATTCGTACACTACGCTGTATCGTGCGGAAATTGGGGGTGTTACCAAACGAATATAGCACATGGATGGAAAAGTCAATATACACACGAACTATCGAAGAACATTATAAAAAAAATGCGACTTTTTTCAATACAATCGTGGCTCCCTATTGTGGCATTCTAATTGGATATCTGTATCGACCCAAAGGCGAACTTGCCTATTTGCCAGAATCTCGTTTTGCCTATGAGTTTCGTCAATTCGATGTGGCATTCGATGCATCTTATCCGTACTATCCTTGGATAGCATTTTTTCTCGGTGGTCTCGGACTTGTTTGGCTCTGGGGCAAATCTTTTTTCTATTTAATTATTTATATTGTACGTCGTGTTCGTCGACCTCAATTGTTCATTTCATCAAATATTCAGGCGATTTTAAAAGAGTTAAGTGTTGATTCTCTGCAGATATTCAATGATCTTTTGTTAGGAGTATCCGATATAGATAATTATCACGATCGACTTTTCCTTATTCGAGAACAACACTTAATCATGTTCAATATTGATTTAAACGAACATAATCCACGAATACTCGGGCAGTTCTACTTTGAGCAACCGTTCATTGGCATTTCAGTGTCATCTATTACAAAAGTAGTTCCCGATGGTTTTCTTATCAAAGACAAGAGCAAACAAAGATGGATTTCATTTCCAACTACGACACACCGGATGGGCGACAATGAGGCTAATTGGCTTCACAATCGAATGATGTCGATTAGTGAACAGTATAAAAACTAGTAAGTCAATAAAAACTATATAAATATATATTGGCTGAAAACCATTATGAATTTAATCTATTTCTAGTTATGATCAAGAACAACGAATTGCTCGTGAACAAGCCAGTATTCAAGCACAAAAAGAATTGGAAGCACACAGATTAGATGCTCTTATCCATGAGGAAGAATTGTGGCAACAAAGGAATTTTGGAAATGATCTTGAGCGAATGTGGGAAGGAACAACATCGGCATCTCCTAGATATATAGCAAAGTTTCGTGTAGCTCTTCATCATCAAGTAAACTCTGATCAAACTGAACTCCTTGCCTCGTCATGTAGTGTTTGCTTGGATATGCTCCAAATTGGTGAAATTTATGATCGTTGGCCATGCCCTGGTCGACATGTTTTCCATGAAAAATGTATACTCGATACATTACGAAGAAAAAATACTTGTCCATTGTGTCGACATCCGGTCGAACCAGCAGCTCCTTTTCTATCAAGAGATATTGTTATGCGGCTGATACTACAAAGATTATTCACGAGATTTACCATTTAACGTGAACAAATTTCAAATTAGCGTCTCTATCATTTTTCTATTTTTTTTGATTCTGTCCTAGTTTATCGAAACATTTTTATACATGATCAAATAAAGCCATGAAAAAATTGAGTAAGACTATGTTTGTTTAAGGGGGCACCCCCCTCAGAAAACCCGATTTTTCGAAAAAAATCGGAAATCGAGTTTTTTTCATAGAAAGATTCGCCGTATTCTCATCTTTCAGAATATATATAGGTT